CGAACTGAAACACTAACTGAGTTTATTCATGCTATTCATTACTATAATTATGCTTTCTCCTCTACCTCTCCCCCGCGTTCAATACTGTACCGCTGCTCAGAATAATAACGTTCGCTTTAGTTCGTGCCAGAAATGGTTTTCCGTCCAAATTTCATTTTTCACTAAACGTCCTCATTTAATGCGTTCTATAGTAAACAATATGCCCATCCTTGGTTTTTTGGGTGGAAACTGCTTCTGTTTAGTCCAAAAAATCGTTTCTAGCTCCTATCTGAAACGTTCCTTGAAAGGCCGTTTGCTTGCATAGATTGTAAATGTTGTCCAAACAGCTTCATACACGTTGTTCCCTTTGTGAATTATATATCTCTGTGGTTTTTTGATCAATACAACGTTTCTCTCAGTGTGTTTGAGTGGCATTTTTACTAGGAATTTTTGTCTATTTTATGCATCTTAACAAACACGTCTGGACCCCTGCTAAACTACCGGTATCGATGAAACACTATCGACACCGTGACGTTCATCAAATTCAATTTCAAATTTTATTACGAGAGAAAACTTGTAAAAAATTCGCTTATCAAATCCCATAAGGTGTTTACATTTTGATTCGGAACACGATTCACAAGATCACAGTTAGTCTATGAAAGTCAAATAGTAATGCAATGTTTTTGACGTGCACAGGAGAATATATTATGTAGTTGGGTGTTGAAAAGCAATGATTGCCAGAGCATCGTCAAGGTGACACTTGAAAGATACTAATGTTAGCGCACAGACCACGTGAGGTGGTAGAGAGTTCCATTTGCTGCACACTCTGACTGCAAATGAATGACGTCTGCAGTCGAGACGGCTCTTTTGGTATGCCAACTTCCGTGGATGCCCTCTGAGATAAACAATGGTTGATAGAACCAAAGGAGATCTGCATGGATGGTCGGGCTGTTGGGAAATCCGATACAGTAAGATCATATCACCTCTGGTTTGACCATATTGAGACTAGTATAGCTGCAATGGCTGTAATCTTTCGCCATAGGTCTTGGAATGTAGATCTTTGACCATTTCGGTAGTCATTCTCTGCAGATGTTCAAGTGTCTTCCGATCTCGCCGCAGCCATGGATTCCAGGCCTCAATTGAATACTCGGTGTATGGACGGATATATGTGGCTAACAGACGTGGAAAAAAAGCCGACTGAAACGATCCAAAAACATGTTTCAGCGGTCCAACCTGTTTTACCTCTATGGATGATGCCCTGAACAGGTTGTGGATCAACTGAAGTCTGCGCGAATGACTACTCCCAGATCCTTCTCGGACGGAACATGAGGGAGAGGTTGGTGTCCGAGAGTGTAGAGAAAACGACCGTTGTGATG